AAACCTGTGTGAATTGGCTCCTTGCAATTCAGGCAAGCTCCTTGATCTCAGGATGTGGTGCTTCCAAATGAGATATTATCATCACCGCATCGCCATTTATCCTCCTATTGTGAGGTGAGGACCTCATCACTTCAGCCCTTTGCTCTGCTCTGCGACTCTGTGTTCTCAATTTTTAGCCCTTTCAGATATCCTTTCTGTACTTTTACGTGTATGTCTGAGAATTCAAGTCTGTCATTACTTGATAAGTACAGTAAAAATATTCTTTTATTGCACTCTTCAGATTTTAGTGCCTTGTCTGACACTGTCAGTCCAGCTGCTACTCAGTCCTCCCTAGACATATTTTGCATGGATAATGCATTTGCATTTTCAGAGTCATCTGTTCTTTTGATTCTCTCTTTCAAAGCAATTTGTTTGATTTCCTGTCTAGCAAAATCATTTTCATCAGAGTTCTTTCTATTCGAGTTTCTGCCTTATTTTACTAGCTGTGGAAGTTTGCTATTGAGACATCTTGTCACCCTTAGGACAAAAACTGGCTGTAGATTCTTAGGCTTCAGCGGATCAATCACTCTTCCATTTAGCAGCAGAAACTGATTTGGCAGAGATGTAGTGTGAGAATGTGAGAACAGGCCTTGGGTTTTTGAATTATTGTCACATAATGCTATGTATAACTGATGCTGTGCTCTACATAACTAATTCTTTATAAATTTTACAATTCAAGGCATTTAAGAAGGCATTGCACTAACTTGGCAAAATAAATTTTAACTATCTTAACAAGCATAAACAAACAAAACAGGGATAAAGAATGTGTTGTAAAGGAAGAAACAAAAAGAGGCAAGCAAAAAAAATATGTTGCTATGCTATACCAAGTATATAATTTGAATTGCCACAATATTTTTGAATCAAGACAATCTATTTATGAGCCCATTTTTGCAACCATATGTTGAATAAAAATGTACATAAAGTTATAACTTATTCATTCAAAATTAAAGCTTAAAAGTTCACAAAGACTATATGCTTAAATATCAGTTTCCCTGTCAATATCAGAGCATGCTCCCTATCTGATTATACTTTCATTTAAATAATGTGCACCTTGACAAAAGCATTTAAGTGTACTATTTTTAATATTTGCTCAGACCTAGAAATATGCATATAAAATTTCATTTTCAAACGTTATACACAGAACAATGAGTTTTCCAACTAAATATGATTTGTTGTAGTTTAATGGGATAACCTGAAATCTGTAAGTCTAGTGTCCACAGCCCCTGCTCCAGTAGTGAGTGACCCAGTAACTGTGGGCTACTCTGTTCATTTGAGTGAGATTTAGCTTTCACCTAATAATAAGTAACATGGAATATTGGGACAGTTAGTAGTAAAAATACTCTAAGAACACTGAACATTGTGAAGTAGAAATTATCCTGGGTTTATGCAAAAGAATAGATAAAAATTATGAGCAATAAAAATTAATGATTTATTTCCATGCATTAAGCTCTTACATGACTTTAAACACACTACATGGATTGGCTCATGTGATCTACTGTTAAACTTCATGGGTTTGAGGTTATTAATTCATTCTGCCTGTGAGGGAACTCATGTATTCAGCCCTTTTTATGCTATTCTGGATGGATGTAGCTAAAGGAGGAAGCACAAATGCTTCCTCAGCAGGTGTATTTTATTTCTTATTTTTCTCATAACTGAAAGTGTGCTTCCTGTGTACATACTTTATTCCAATCACAAGATGTGTTTATCAAGTGTGATGACTACTTTGCTCCCTTTTGCGGTAGCACATGGAAAGTGTTAGCTTTATTACTAATGTATTTAGAATACTCTGTTGTAAAGATTCTTAAATATCCAATATAACTGCAAATTACTAAAATATAATTTCATGATAATCTTTCACATATTCAAAGAAAAATCAAAGAAATTTCTACATGATTAGAATTCATATTTTCATTAGTGACTAATAATATTTAATTAATTTGTAAGTTAATTAGTTATTAGATTTAGAGAGAAGAATTATTGGACAGCCAATAACCAATAAAAACCTATTATTGGCATGTGTGCAAAGATTAACTTAATCATCATAAAATCAGAGAAAAAATTAGAGGAGATAAAAATATTCAACCATTAGGGTGTTGTCAAATTCCAAGCTTGACACATGGAAAAGTTAGAAGAAATAGTATGAATGGAAGGTCAAAAGACATTTCAGTGTGATTTACTAGAACTAAAATTTCTTCACAATAATTCATAGAATTTCTGATAAATAGATATAGATATATTGACTTCATCACATTCATTTTCAGAATTGAAAAACAAATCAATACTTTGAAACTTGTTAAATTTAAAGTTTGGTCAACCTCATGTATGTGTACCTTTGTATACACACACAAAGATAGATAATAAAATAAAATTTAAACCAACAAGAAATTAAGACAAGTTATTCCATGCTATGTGTTTCAGTAATTTTTTAATGAAGTATGTAGAGAACACAATCACTTTAGAAAATGCAAGGGTCTTTTTTTTGCTTTTGTTGCCTGTGCTTTGGGAGTCGTATTAAAGAAGTCAGCACCTATACCAATCGCTTGAAATGTTTGCTCTACATTTTCTTTTAGCAAATTCATAGTCTCAGGTCTTAAATGTATACATTTGATACATCTTGAGTTGATTTTTGTATATGGTGAGAGGTGAGGATCTAATTGCATTCATCTACATATATGCATCCAGTTTTGACAGAATAGTATCCTTTCTACAAAGTATGTGTTGGGCACTTTTGTCAGCATTCAGTTGGCTGTATGTATATGAATGTATCAATAGTTTCTGGGGAGTTCTGGGCATGTCCCAAAGTGCTCACTCATTCAAACTACTCCAGGGGATCCCCTACACTTCTTGGAGCTACCACAAGCAACATCCAAAAAAAAATTCCTAGCTGAACCATACAAAGTTTGTCCAGTGCCTACTAGTTCACTGTGTGGGGAGACAGGGGCACAGATCACAGCATCACCTGTGCATGCTACATGAGGACTGAAGGCATCTCCATCTATGCCTTGCCCAATCTGTATTGGCGATGATGATGTTAGTATGACAATCTTTGTAGTAACTCAAATCTACGTCCAATACCTGGAGTGCTTACTGCATCATTCTGCATCAGGCTGGTGGCCATCACCATTCCCCAAACCTGGTTCCCCCCTGGGAGATCTGGATAATGACCCCACTGTATCCTGCAACACCAGGACTAATTGCCCCAAACCCACTGGACTCTATCCAGTTGGACCTAGATGAGTCTGCCTGTATTCTACACCTCTGAACCAATAACTGCAACTGAAAAATCCCATGTATATCTTTTGATTATTCGCTGTGAGACCGGAGTGGGATTCAACTCACATCCCCCAGTACTGGGGCAAGGGATTTTGGTGTTTTAAGGCCAAACACTAATCTCCCAGAAGGACCTGGGGAAGGGTTCCATCCACATCACACACTCATAGAACCACAGCTATTGATATCATAAACCACAACATCACAGAGGCTTGCTAGTTGGATAACAGGACAGCCCCTTTGAGTACCTCAACACCAAGGACAAGGCCCTGGTTATCACAAACCCTAATGTAACTGACATCCATATCTCTGTGGACTGAAGATAAGCACCCTAGGAAGCCCACATTAATTTCAAAATCTCATCTGCTCTATGAACTGTTGCAGTGTTACTTATAGACACAGCTGACCTTTATTAAAGCAATGAAATTAAGTTAAAGAAATAATTCAGAAGTCACACTTCTGGGTTCATTAAGGACCAGAGCCAAAACTAAAAGCCAAGGGATACCCTGAATTCCATCTATACCTTAAAGTGTTTTCAGATCCAACCTACTCCATAAAGAAGAAGAGACTATTATTATACAAGATGTGCAGATATCAATGCAGATACAGGAAACGTAAGAAGCAAGATAGCATGACACCTCCAAAAGAACGCAACAGTTGTCCCAAAATAGTTCCTGAACTGAAGGAAATCTATGAAATGCCAGAAATGGAATTCAAAATAATGTTTGTATGGAAGGTAAATGATGCAAGAGAATACAGTTAGAGTAAAGAAATGATGAAAATACTATGTGACATGAATGAAGCATTCACTAAGGATATAGAAATAATTAAGATGAACCAAACAGAAATTTTGGAGAATAAATCTTCAATCAATGAAATATAAAATATTACAGAGAGCATCAACATCATAATAGAAAAAGTGGAGGAAAGAATTTCTGATCTGGAGGATATGAATTTTGTATAACCCAAGTAGATAAAAATAAAGTGAAAAGAAAGAAAAAGAATTAAGAAAGGCTATGTGATAAATTGGATAGCATTCAGGGACCAAATATTCATATTATAAAGATTTCTGAAGAAAAAAAAAGAAAAAAGGAAAAAGGTATTTAGAACCTGCTAAATTAAGCCATAGTTGAAAAATTCCCAAATTTGAACAATAATGGCTATGCTCAAATCAGATAAAATAAGCTTTAAATCAAAAACTGTAAAGATAGACAAGGAAGGACTTACCTTCTTTTGAAAACAGTGTGAAAAGAGAACATGTGAGAAACAATGTCTCGGAATTAACATCAGCTTAATTCCTGATGAATTAACATCAGCTTCATTCATTATGAATGGACAACAGGGTGGCCTTGCATCTAGAGCAACCCATTGCAGTCATTCACAGTGAGTTAAACGTCAAATACTGGTTTTAAGTTCTAGAAGTAATGTTTAGTCAGCTAATTCAAGGAGGAATTGTTTTTTATGATCTATTGCATCATACTCAAATTAAGTATATTAATTGATGGAATCAATGCTGAAAAATCTTGTTACTGGAGTTCTTAATTTTAATTATTCCTTTGGTCTTCATTTCACAACTGCAGCCATTGCAAATGGGCAAGGTAACTTAGAACAAAAGTAAGATTTCAGAAAGATACTAATGAGGACACAGGAATTTGGAGAGAAGCCATACTTTATTTGAAGAGTTAACTTACTTTACATACTCAGTTTCCCTTGTGAGTTAAAGGGAACACTTGCCTACCAGCCTGGCTTCCCTGAAAATCAAGCACAAACATGAAATCTCTATGTGTGCTTTGTGGTGCTAGTTCCACCTAGGAGATGTTCCACTGTACCCTTATTTTATTTCTATGGAGGCACATGCAATGGTGCCAATGTATTTAAAACTGTGACCTTTGAACCCTGACATAGCTGGATCTACATCTACTTCTACTACTTATAGGCTATCCTGAAAAACTCCTAACATCTCATGAACAACAATTTTTTAAACTTTTATTTAATAAATATAAATTTCCAAAGTACAACTTTTGAGTTATAGCAGCTTTCCAATCCCATAACCTCTCTCACACCCACAACCATCCCATGTCCCACTCCCTCTCCCATCTCACTCTTCATCACAATTCATTTTCCATTATCTTTATATACAGATCAACTTAGTATATACTACATAAACATTTCAACAGACTGCACCCACAAAGGCACACAAAGTATGGAGTACTGTTTGAGTGTTTGAGTAGTAGTTTTACTGTTAATTCGCATAGTACAATACATTTAGGACAGAGGTCCTGCATGGGGAGTAAGTGCACAGTGACTCCCATTGTTGATTTCACAATTGACACTCTTATTTATGACGTCAGTAATCACCTGAGGCTCTTGTCATGAGCTGCCAAGGCTATGGGAGCCTCTTGAGTTCACCAATCCCATCTTATTTAGACAAGGCCATAGTTAAAGTAGAAATTCTCTCCTCCCTTCAGAGAAAGGTACTTCCTTCTTTGATGGCCCATTCTTTCCATTGGGATCTCACTCGCAGAGATCTTTCATTTAGGTCATTTTTTTCCCACAGTGTCTTGGCTTTCCATGCCTGAGAAACTCTCATGGGCTTTTTAGCCAGATCCTTAAGGGCTGATTCTGAGGCCAGAGTTCTGTTTAGGACATTTGCCATTCTATGAGTCTGCTTTGTATCCCACTTCCCATATAGGATCATCTCTCATTTTCAATTCTATCAATTATTATTTGCAGGCATTGGTCTTATTTATGTAATCCCTTTGACACTTAATCCTATCTTTTTGATCAATTACGAACTGAAACTGATCACTTTGACTAACGAGATGGTATTGGTACATGCCACTTTGATGGGATCGAATTGGAATCACCTGGCATGTTTCTAGCTCTACCATTAGGGCTAAGTCTGAGTGAGCATGTGCCGAACTGTACATCTCTTCCCTCTCTTATTCCCACTATTATATTTAACAGGGATAACTTTTCAGTTAAATTTAAATGACTAAGAATAATTGTGTGTTAAAGAGTTCAACCGAGGCGGAGCCAAGATGGCGGAATAGTGAGGGCGCGTGCCGATAGTCCGGGAAAATTTAGTTTAATAAAAGGGGAGTTACGGTAGCCTCAGAAAAAAAGAACCAGGAAAATATTGCAGAGGAAACTCTTCTGGATCGAGTGGCCGTGAATCGGAGGACCTACTGGGAGAACAAGGTAGCCCACCTAAAAGATTTGTTAAGGGAATTAAAGGGTGACTTAGACCCCAATACAATAGTACTGGGGGACTTCAATACTCCACTCTCAGAAATAGACAGATCAATAGGACAGAAGATCAACAAGGATACAGTAGATTTAAACGACACTATAGCCCAAATGGATCTAACAGATATATACAGAACTTTCAATCATACAGCTAAAGATTTTACATTCTTCTCAGCAGTACATGGAACCTTCTCTAGGATTGACCACATACTAGACCATAAAGCAAGTCTCAGCAAATTCAAAAGAATTAGAATCATACCATGCAGCTTCTCAGACCATAAAGGAATGAAGTTGGAAATTAACAACTCAGGAATCCCTAGAGCAAACACATGGAGATTGAACAACATGCTCCTGAATGAACAATGGGTCATAGAAAGAAATCAAAAGAGAAATCAAAAACTTTCTAGAAGTAAATGAGGATAACAGCACAACATACCAAAACTTATGGGACGCAGCAAAAGCAGTGTTAAGAGGAAAGTTTATATCAATAGGTGCCTACATCAAGAAATTGGAAAGGCACCAAATAGATGAGCTTTCAATTCACCTCAAGGATCTAGAAAACCTACAGCAAACCAGACCCAAATCTAGTAGGAGAAGAGAAATAATTAAAATCAGAGAAGAAATCAACAGGATTGAATCAAGAAAAACATTACAAAAAATCAGCCAAACAAGGAGCTGGATTTTGAAAACATAAACAAAATTGACACCCCATTGGCCCAACTAACTAAAAAAAGAAAAGACCCAAATCAATAAAATCAGAGATGAAAAAGGAAATGTAACAACAGACACCACAGAAATAAAAAGAATCATCAGAAATTACTACAAGGACTTGTATGCCAGCAAACAGGGAAACCTATCAGAAATGGATAGATTCCTGGACACATGCAACCTACCTAAATTGAACCAGGAAGACATCGAAAACCTAAACAGACCCATAACTGAGACAGAAATTGAAACAGTAATAAAGGCCCTCCCAACAAAGAAAAGCCCAGGACCAGATGGATTCACTGCTGAATTCTACCAGACATTTAAAGAAGAACTAACTCCAATTCTTCTCAAACTATTCAGGACAATCGAAGAAGAGGGAATCCTCCCAAATTCTTTCTATGAAGCCAGCATCACCTTAATTCCTAAGCCGGAAAAAGATGCAGCATTGAAAGAGAATTACAGACCAATATCCCTGATGAACATAGATGCAAAAATCCTCAATAAAATTCTCGCCAATAGAATGCAACAACACATCAGAAAGATCATCCACCCAGACCAAGTGGGATTTATCCCTGGTATGCAGGGATGGTTTAATGTGCACAAAACAACCAATGTGATACACCACATTAACAGACTGCAGAAGAAAAACCATATGATTATCTCAATAGATGCTGAGAAAGCATTTGATAAAATACAACACTCGTTCATGATGAAAAATCTAAGCAAACTGGGTTTGGAAGGAACATTCCTCTATACAATCAAAACAATCTATGAAAAACCCACGGCCAACATCCTATTGAATGGGGAAAAGTTGGAAGCATTTCCCCTGAGATCTGGGACCAGACAGGGATGTCCACTCTCACCACTGCTATTCAATATAGTTCTGGAGGTTCTAGCCAGAACTATTAGGCAAGAAAAAGAAATTAAAGGGATACAAATTGGGAAGGAAGAACTCAAACTATCCCTCTTTGCAGATGACATGATTCTTTATTTAGGGGACCCAAAGAACTCTACTAAGAGACTATTGGAACTCATAGAAGATTTTGGGAAAGTAGCAGGGTATAAAATCAATGCACAAAAATCAACAGCCTTTGTATACACAGACAATGCCATGGCTGAGGAAGAACTTCTAAGATCAAGCCCATTCACAATAGCTACAAAAACAATCAAATACCTTGGAATAAACTTAACCAAGGACGTTAATTATCTCTACGATGAGCATTACAAAACCTTAAAGACAGAAATAGAAGAGGATACCAAGAAATGGAAAAATCTTCCATGCTCATGGATTGGAAGAATCAATATCATCAAAATGTCCATTCTCCCAAAAGCAATTTATAGATTCAATGCAATACCAATCAAGATACCGAAGACCTTCTTCTCAGATCTGGAAAAAATGGTGCTGAAATTCATATGGAGGCACAAGAGACCTCGAATAGCTAAAGCAATCCTGTACAACAAAAACAAAGCCGGAGGCATCATAATACCAGGTTTCATGACATACTACAGGACAGTTGTAATCAAAACAGCATCGTACTGGTACAGAAACAGATGGATAGACCAATGGAACAGAATTGAAACACCAGAAATCAACCCAAACATCTACAGCCAACTTATATTTGATCAAGGATCTAAAACTAATTCCTGGAGCAAGGACAGTCTATTCAATAAATGGTTCTGGGAAAATTGGATTTCCACGTGCAGAATCATGAAGCAAGACCCCTACCTTACACGTTACACAAAAATCCACTCAACATGGATTAAAGACCTAAATCTACGACCTGACACCATCAAGTTACTAGAGAACATTGGAGAAACCCTTCAAGATATTGGCACAGGCAAAGAATTTCTGGAAAAGACCCGGGAGGCACAGGCAGTCAAAGCCAAAATCAACTATTGGGATTGCATCAAATTGAGAAGTTTCTGTACTGCAAAAGAAACAGTCAGGAGAGTGAAGAGACAACCGACAGAATGGGAAAAAATATTTGCAAACTATGCAACAGATAAAGGGTTAATAACCAGAATCTACAAAGAGATCAAGAAACTCCACAAACACAAAAACCAACATTCCAATTAAGAGATAGGCCAAGGACCTCAATAGACATTTTTCAAAAGAGGAAATCCAAATGGCCAACAGGCACATGAAAAAATGTTCAAGGTCATTAGCAATCAGGTAAATGCAAATCAAAACCACAATGAGGTTTCACCTCACCCCAGTTAGAATGGCTCACATGCAGAAATCTACCAACAACAGATGCTGGCGAGGATGTGGGGAAAAAGGGACACTAACCCACTGTTGGTGGGAATGCAAACTGGTCAAGCCACTATGGAAGTCAGTCTGGAGATTCCTCAGAAAACCTGAAGATAACCCCTACCGTTCGACCCAGCCATCCCACTCCTGGGAATTTACCCAAAGGAATTTAAATTCGCAAACAAAAAAGCGGTCTGCACCCTAATGTTTATTGCAGCTCAATTCACAATAGCTAAGACCTGGAACCAACCTAAATGCCCATCAGTGGTAGACTGGATAAAGAAATTATGGGATATGTACTCTTTAGAATACTATACCGCAGTAAGAAACAACGAAATCCAGTCATTTGCAACAAAATGGAGGAATCTGGAACACATCATGCTGAGTGAAGTAAGCCAGTCCCAAAGGGACACATACCATATGTTCTCCCTGATCGGTGACAACTGACTGAACACCAAAAAGGAAACCTGTTGAAGTGAAATGGACACTATGAGAAATGGTGACTTGATCAGCATAGCCCTGACTGTTAATGAACAACTTAAT